GACTCGCGAGTCAACCTATGAAAAGCGAGTCCATGTTTATACGAAAATACCCCCATGATTGGCGAATTTTACGATTGCCGGGAACTACGAAAAGCGGGGGACCACTGTACATATATCCACTTGTTGGCACCGATTGGCATCCTGCTGCCAATCCAAGATGCGGTCTGCTTGTGGGTACTGGATATTGACAGGTGGTTGTGGTTATGCAGGTTGTTGTGGTTGTGCAGGTTGTTGTGGTGTGTGGGTGGTTGAAGGTGGCCTTTGTTGTGGATGTGCCGAGTCAGCCACGTGGCTACCAGCCTGGGGTGCTGCTGGTGCCACATGAAGCAGTACACTACCTGCTGCCACATGTATATTATCCATCCCAATTGTAACATTACTCATTACCCATACTGTCTTCCCTACCACCCACACCATCTTCCCCACCACCCATGCCGTTTTCCCCGCCACCCACACCATCTTCCCCACCACTCAAACCATCTTCCCCACCACCCACACTGTTTTTCCCACCACCCATGCTGGAAATAAGTCACTTTGTCTGACTTTTCTGGGTTATCCTAAGTTCTCTACACATATGATACTATGTATGATAATCTTTGTAACTGTATTTGTGTATACCTGAATAAACTTACTTACATGCCATCTTCCCCACCAACCACACTATCTTCCCCACCATCCACGCTCTCTTCTCCACCACCCACACTGTGTTCCCTTTTCACTATCTGTATCTGGTATCCTGGGCATTGCTTTCAGTCACAAACTTGCCAAAACCATGAAATTCATCTTCACTGACACCTCCATCTCTGTTAGAACTATCACTTGGGAACAGAAGAGTCCCAATTCGCCGGGGACCGAGGTATTCCTTACTGATGAGCATGGTGAACAAGGCATACTGAATTGGCACTCCCACAATGCACTGCAGCCTCCCAGATTTTTTTTATACTGTGCACACTGAGCACACAGACCCATTCTCTCACATGTAGGTCTACCAGCTTTCTCCCACTAGATTTGAAGCTGCTAGAATTTTGGTGTAATATTATTGCACCAACACTGGCTTGCAAGCCGTAATATTATGATACCAACAGTGAAAGGGTTAAAATTTAGACCCACATCCAACATATATCTAAGAAAGTATCCAAAACAGTAGGCATCCTTTCCAAGATACTGTACTATGTACCCCAAATGGCACTACTTACACTATACCACTCTAATCTACCCTTGCCTCACCTATGGTATTTGTGCTTGGGGATCGACCATAGCCAGTCACCTTAAACCATTAATAAGCCAACGAAAAGCTGCTGTCCAGATGATTACACCCTACCGCTCTTCAGGAGCTTGAGCTTACTTAATATAATACTATACTACTAATAATATATATAATATCTTTATTTCTACGAGTACATGTACAAGGTATACAGGCCTAGCTGACATCAGTGATGTACTACTACATAGAAAGCTGCTTGTTATGTAGAGCATTTCGGGCAAATTAGGTCCATTTTGTCCCAGTTGACAAAATGGTACCCATAATTACTGATGGGTGAACATGGACAACCGGTGTAAGGAAACATGCCCAATGTTTCCACCCTTGACCGGGAATTGAACCCAGACCTCACTGTGCGAAGCAAGAGCTTTTTGCCATATAAAATATACACTAATATTGTTGTGCCTACTATATATACAGAACATTAATCTCCAATATAAATCCTCCTCATAATCTTCTCCTTGACAGATACTACACAAGGCACAAAACACTCTTCGACATTCCTCGTGTCCGTCTCGCCCTATGCAAAAATGCAATGTGCATAAAGGGATTTAGATTTAGATTTAGATTCTTTATTTCTTTGTAAAGATTACAATATGGAGTTTACATATTATAAAGTATTAATTACAATGAGTGGTTTACATAATGTAAAATATTATAACATATCATAAAATATTAATTACAAAGAAGGCCATTAGTATACCTAGGCAATTCAGGCAGACTAATACTAATTCTTATATATTGACACAGGTTATGGAGCATACCAGTATTAAAGTTAGGTAATTGTAGTGATTAATTAGATTTACAAAAGTGAGGTAGTTCAAAACATTTAAGAAATTAACAAATTATGTATCTAGTAATGGGAATGGTCTTGTCTTGGCATGATACATAGTTTCTATTAAAGCTTAAAAATTATGAAGCAATAGCTATATTCGGAATTTTATTTTTACAGTCATTTGTGTAAATTAGTGGGAATCACATATCAAATAATGTAATTTTGTTGCAGCACTCTGTGAAAGATCACTCAATTACCATTGGTTTAGTTATCTGTAGTGGTGTGTTAGGGATAGATGGGGGTCTAAAGATGTGAAAATGGTCTTAATACTGCCTTGGAATTTTCATCGGGAGTATGGCAGATTATAGTCTTTTATGAATTGAAATTTTGTTAAACCGGGGAAGTCTGAATGTTTGTTTTTATTAGCTTATGTTGAACAATATATGGAATGTGTTTAGTTCGGGGTTATGTTGGAGATTATGGTTTTAAATGTAGGTTGAAAATGTTGTGAATTTCTGCATGTGTCTGAGTTTCTTAGGAGGAAGTGCAGGTTGGTCCTTTCTGCATTGATTTGTATGCAGAATTATAGAGATTTTGTGTTGGTTATTATTTCTTTAGGTTGTTACTTGCTGATTCCAAGACAATGGATTTAGAGGTAGTGTGAATGATGGTTCTGTAAATGGGTTGCATGTAGTAAGTGTGAATGTTCTGTACAATGAGTAAGTTTAGGTCTTTGAAGAGAAGGGGGTTGGAGGTATTGCCTAGCATTGGATTGCATGATAATTCTTACTATGGCTTTTTGTTGGTTATTATTGGCTTTAGGTGGGTTACTGCTGCTGATCTCCAAGCACAAATGGCATATGTGAGGTAGGGATAGATGAGTGAATAGTATAGTATGAGTAGGGCTGATTGTGGTACATGGTAACGTATCTTAGAGAGTATCTCAACCGTTTTGGACCCTTTTTTACTTATGTGTTGGGATTCACTGTCCGAACCAGCAAAAGGTCCCCTGCCTGCAAATCATTTTAGGGCTATTCTTAAAAATCATGTCTCCCAAAATTAATCATACCAACACTATGCTAAATCATTCACTGAGTTTGAAACGACTCAAAAAATCCCCAAAAATTACAACATTTAATCAGCTTAAAACAATACACACTATAAGTTGTACTGTTGTATCATTGTAAATTGTATTAATTTTTTTGTAATATTGTTATTTGTTTTGTGCTACTTCACTACTATAAATCTTGTTAATTATAAAAACTTTTAGCTACCTCAATTTAGTAATAAGGTAAAATAAATAGTCTGTAAACATAAGGTAATATAAGTAATTTTAAGTAGTCTGCAAGCATAAGGTAAAATAAGTACTGTAGTTTCAAGTAGTCTGTCAGCATTAGGATCAGTCTGCCCATAATGCTCCGGCATGTTTGTGGCTCTCTTCATACAGTGGCTCTCTTCATACAGTGGCTCTCTTCATACAGTGGTTCTCTTCAGACAGTGGTTCTCTTCATACAGTGGTACCTCGGGATACGAACAGCTCAAAACTTGAACATTTATGTAAGTGTATTAATGTAAGTGCTTTTGTAAATGTATTTTTGGGGGTCTGAAATGGATTAATCTATACATTATTCCTCATGGGAAAAAAATTCATTCAGTATCAGCACTCGAACAGCCTTCTGGAACAACTTAAGTTCATATCCCGAGGTACCACTATACTTAACAACACTATAAAATGTAATCACACATTGTAACCTTTGCAAAAACAAAATTTATTTGTTTGTTGTATTACCAATCATTCTGAAAAATACCTTGACTTTGCCTGTTTTAAATAACTCATAACCACTTAAACCTGTTTAAATTTTGGGATACCTTGCTAAAACATAAGGTAATATAAATAATTCAAAACCACAAATAAGCTACACTGTAATATTTGTGACCTAATTCATATCAGCATAAATACCTCATTATGATTGTTACCAGATGTAAACACATAAATAGTTCATTACCACTGTAACTTGTCTATCTATTAAAACTTTGGGGCGCAGTCCCTGAATCCATTATGTGCTTCTGTAATACTATTTTGATTATCACCACAGGATGGGTATGAGGGTGCATAATAAAAATATTAAACTAACTTCACTGTATGGCTTCGACTGGAGTCACAGTGCCTGGAGAATGGGAAGCAATTAGCTTTAATCTCAGGAAGGGAAGGGTAGTTTTAATTCCTTGGATCATGACTCTTTCCTTCATCAGCATCAAGGCATCTGCTTGATGAGACAGTAAGTTATGGTAGTATGCAGATTGGGAACCTGATTCTTGAGTATTTCCCATGTCCCTTGTACTATATATGTATTAACAGGTATCTTTTCATTTTTCATATCAAGAGAGAACATTAAAGTGCTTTGATATTTTCCTGGTAGTTTAAGCATGTTTATCATTGAATGTGTACAGTAAACCACTCTCTACATTTTCCAGTTTTGATATTTTTAAGCTTTGAAAAGAAGCCATGAGCACGGAAGAGTATTCTAGATGTGAGAGTAGAAATTATAGAAAAGTGTCATCATCAGCATGACTTCTTTTATTTTAAAAGGTTTCATAATCAAGCTTGTCATTTTCTTGACCTTTGATGCATTTTTCTGTATGTTTTCTTTATAATAGGTCAACTAATATGATTGGGTTTTCATACATTTTGCATTAATATTGTGTGTTACACCCTAATTGCATTAGCTTGGAGTTGTCTACTATGAAAATCATCCTCTACATCTCTGACAACTGAAATTATATTTAAAAATAACAAGACACATGAGGATGGGGCTACATCACACATGAATGACTGTTATTTAAGAAGTAGACAAAGAGCTGGACTTCAATCTTGGCAAACACAAGAGTATATACAAATATGTATTATTCATTATAGTATACACCTTTTAAATATAGCACTATCCATTACTTTGTTTACTGCAGGTAGCATCAAGATTGCAGTTTTTAAAGGATTCTGTGAGCCAGTTCATCAGGTTCAAAGCTGTACCTCAGACTAGAGTTGGTCTTGTTATTTTTGCTGATGATGTACTGATCAGTAAGGAACTTCAGCTTCTCAACACTGATGATAACCGCAACTCACTAATACAAACTATTCTGCTGAATTTTTCCAACAAACAGAAAAAGAATCTACTTCCAGGAATTTTACAAGCAGTGAAGGTAAATTGTTGTCATAAATAATTAGGCTGATATACTAGCTAACAGTAATATTTTTTTTGAAAGTTACATGACCAAATATTTGAGAAAGAAGTAACAATTAGCAATACCACAGATGGGTCCTATATTATGTACAGTACAGTATTACCTGGTATTTAGTAAGAAAAAGGAGTGTGTGTGTATATATGAAAATATTATTTAAAAAAAGAGTAAGGGGATGAGAGTAACAAAAAGTTTGTTATGAAAACTGGATATCAAACTGGAGGGAGGGAATATGGAGGAAGTGAATATGTTTAGATATTTGAGAGTGAACGTGTTGGCAGATGAGTCTGAAAGAATGGGTGAACCATAGAATAGACAAGGGAAAAAAGGTAGGTAGTGTGTCTGTGGAAAGAAAGACATTATCTTTTTCTTTTTTAACACACTAGCTATTTTCCCACCAAGGTAGGGAAATGGCTCAGATGTCCCTCTAAACTGCAATATCTCCACCCCTCCTTCAAAGTACTGTACACTCAATGTATGTCTGCAACTTTACCAAGAGTATGCAGTGACTCGCTTATATCTTTCAGTGTCTAATTTGGTTGTTCAGGTTCATGTTCTTCATGTTTTCTGCAGCTGGGAACTTAATTCCTGCAGTATTTTGTCTACAGTTGGTTATCATTATAATCTTCCAAGAGTTCATTGATGTCATCAAATCCCTCGCCTAGCTCTTGTGGGGAAAATTCTCCAGTAAAGGGGGGTATCTCTCAGCTCTCTCAGCCCCCCTCAGCCCTCAGAGGGACTTAGCCCTCCTGGAAGGGGCTAGTGGACTCTTCCTTCCTCATAAGTAAGTAAGTAAGTAAGTAAGTAAATTTATTCAGGTATACACAATACAGTTACATAGAATTATCATACATAGCAGCATATGTGTAGAGAACCTAGGATAACCCAAAAAAGTCAGACAGTGACTTATTTCCATTGGGGTCCTTTTACCTTATTATTATAATATAAAGGTTATAATATTTTCTTGTTATTCTATAATGAAGATAACATCTTATTATCATACTAAAAAGACTATCTACTACACGAGGGTCATTAAGACTATCTACAATACGAGGGTCATTAAGACTGTCTACTACCCGAGGGTCATTACGACTATCTACAATACGAGGGTCATTACTAGGGATAAGGTAAAATTTACACGTATTTTAGCTAAAAAATAGAAAATCATTCCCCTCCCTTTCTGTTGCTTCATCATCAGACACTTTTTTGGCAGTCTTCTTGAACTGGTTCAAGCTATGACTGGCCTGACATTTGTGGGTAGTCTGTTCCATTCCTTTATTGCTGTACAATAAAAGGTGTTTGAAGCCTGGCCACTGACTGTGGGTACTACAAAGTTGTGCTCTTTCCCCCCTAGTACTAAGGATTGCTTTGGTTCCCAACCTTTACAAAATTGACAGCAAGATATTCTGGACACTGTTCGTGAGCAATTTTATAAACAGATTTAGCTTCAGTTGTTTTACTCTGTCTTCAACATTCAGCATATCCAACTGCTGTAATTCACCCTGGCCTACATTTTCTCTTGGTCCCAGCCCCGGGATGAATCTTACGATTTTGTTTGGGGGATTTTTGCAGTCTATTTTCATTTTTTTTTTGAAAAAGGGCAGAGTACCAAAAGAGCAAGCAAATCCATATGGCATTGTATAAGGGCTAGACAAGGGTCCTGCGAGCCTCATAATAACACTGTGCTTGTCTATACAGGAACTTCACCTGGCTTCGTTTTTCTTTACACACTGTTCCCTTCAATTCTCCTAACTGCATGGGTCAAGGGATTTCCCAGTATTTAACTGATAAACCAAAGTATGGACCCCCATTACACTGAACTTTAAAAATTATTTACCCTTCTCAGTTTATTTTTGTTCCAAAGGAAGGCTTCTTTTTCCCTAGGGTAATGATATTTTGTTTCTACCCCTTTTTGCTGGGCTCCAGTTCCGTGTTAAAACATTGCAATATTTTTGGGTCTTTACCTGCACTAACAGAGCACGTCATCTGCATACAGAGGATTTGCACTTGCACTGATAGGCATATCTTTGACAAAACATAAAAATAGTAAGGGGACCCAGAATACTCCCTTGGGGAACTCCACATTTTCGGCAGGGTTCTGATTCCTTTTGTGATTTTGATTTTTGTCTCCTGTTGCAAAGGGTAGGACTTAAACAGTCTACAGAACCTTTCCCGAAGCTTGAAGTTTCTTACATAATATTTTTTGGGGTTGACAGTATCAAAAAGGCCTTTTGCAGGTCAAAGGTTACCATACCTAGGAGGTTCCCTTTTAAATTTAGTTCCAGGGTAACCATCAGATTAAAAGGGGAGTATGGGTTGGGGTAGGATTTCAAACCCCCGATTGTTCTATGGAGAATGCTTTTCTTTAAAGGTATTAAAATACTTGAGAATCACCGCCCTCTCCAAAATTTTTAGATATTATACTGAGTATACTAAAGGTCTATAGTTGCTTACATCGACCTATTATTTTTCTTAAAGATAGGGTAACTTGGCCCCCTTAAACCCCCCCCGGTACGGTATTAGGGGTGGTTGATGATTTATTATGTGAGAAAGGGGATTGACAGTTCGAAGCCCATCTTTTAGGAACTAAAGAGGGATGTTATCGGGGGCCGGGGCTCTTATTTGGTTTAACCTGCTTATTTTTTTTGAATAAAGTCTTAGATACCTTTTAGTTGACAAATTTTTTTTGGTTTTCCCCTTTATTGGTATTAGTATGTTTGAAACTTATCAGATTGTGTTAAAGGTTTTTTGATGCAGCGGTAGTTTTTTTACTGTGTTATGCAACAGATGTGTAGTAGAATTAAAGCAATTTGCCACCTTAGATGTTTCGTGGATACCTCTTTTCGATATGATTTCTATTTAGACCTATTACTGGCTTTGGCTAACCCCCCAAATGTTTTAGTTGTTTCCAGAGTTTTGGGGTATGTTTATTCTTTAATTTTTTAGAAAAGTGCTTTCCTTTTCTCCTTTTATAAGCCTCTGTACTTGTTCCCACCCTTTGGAATTCATTTAGTGCTGCAATACCTGTCTGTTTTCTTAAATTTTTTAGGCAGCTGGTCTTGAATTTTATTTATTAATATCTCAATGTCATCCAGGGTTCATTTTTTCCCTTTAATCCTAACCTCTTTTAAATGGTGCAATATTATTAAAATGGAGTGAACATTGTTTTGAATTTTTCCAGGGTCGTTTCGTCCCTAACTTGTTATCTCTGTCCAGTCACAATTGGTACCTATTTACCAGTGTTTCTTTTCTGTAGTTTTTTTTGTTGACCCCTTTTTTATTGTCCTGTGTAGGCCCATCCTATCCCTAAGGGTTTTCCCGGTGCAGTAAATATGAAAAGATCACTAAGACCTGTGGTAAAAGACCGACTGACTAATGTTTTTCCCCGCTTGCTGACACTAGACACTAGGGACATTTAAAAGGGTTTTTAAAAAAGCTGTTTCGAGGAAGGGAAAATCCAAATAACCCCCTTTTGGGAGGGCTAACCCCCTAGGGGTGACGGGGGGCTAAAAGGGGTGAGAGATACCCCCTTAACTAGAATTTTCTCCACACTCAGCCTTGCCCGACACTTTCCTGAAATTTCTTTTCCATTTAGGAAAAACCCCAAAAACTTCACCACACAAGCCTACTTTTCTCCCGCCACTTTATTTTTTTTTACATAATTCAATCCTTTTCATACAGGGGAGTGCTCTGCAATGTTTAAATTTTTGCCCAGACCCTGGGCCCACATCTGTTGTCAAATTTCCCGCCACTAGTTTTTTGCACAAAAGTGTGTGTTGTACGGGACTTAAATGTTTTTGATAAATGTTCGAAGTGGTTGTTCAAGAATATTTTTTGGGTAAAAAGGTAATCTTGAGCCTGACTCTACATCTCCAGGGGTTGGGGGATGAAATGCAACAATTATAAGGCAGGAGAGCCCCGCCGCAAGATTTTTTTTAAAGGGCAGAAATCCTTAATTCATAAAAAAGTGATGCTTGAACCCCTTTTTTGAAAAAGGGCCCCAGTCACCCTGCTGGCATCAGACTTTCCCAAAAAGGCAATGTGCTTTTGTTTTTACCTTTTAAAGGATGGGGACTCCTGGAGCAATAAACAAGCAAAGGCTTATTAGGTAAGACACATATGCAACAGTTAGGTATCTTTATTTCGAAATGTTTTGCCTACACAGTAGGCTTCTTCAGTCGAGTACAGAAAAGTTGGTACAGTAGAAGCAGAAGAAATGTGAAGACGATGTAATCAGTCCATCACCCTTGAAGACAGCTTTGAGGTGGTCAGTCCCTCAGCCTGGAGAAGAGTATTTGTTCCATAGTCTGAAACAATGTGAAGTTGTAGTGACAGTATGGAGCCTTACATACTGTCAGGAGGTGAGATGTAGGCCACTAGTAGATGCAAGAATGTAATCATTGAGAGGCTTTACCTAACAACCTGTCGGCATTTTATACCATTTTAATATTCAATCTGTCAGACACTGCAACACAATGGTATCTTGGTAGAGAAAACACCTTGGACAACTTCTACTAGTGAGAATGGTTGGATTTGAGAGGGGCATGACCGCTCAATGATTACATTCTTTCTACTACTAATGGCCTACGTCTCACCTCCTGACAGTATAGTACTATAAGGCTCCATACTGTCACTTCAACTTCACATTGTTTCAGACTATGGAACAAATAGTCTTCTCCAGGCTGAGGGAATGACCACCTCAAAATTGTCTTCAAGAATGATGGACTGATTACATCGTCTTCACATCTCTTCTGCTTATACCAACTTTTCTGTACTCAACTGAAGAAGCCTACTGTGTAGGCAAAATTTTTTTAAATAAAGATACCTAACTGTTGCATATGTGTCTTACCTAACAACCTGTCGGTATTTTATACCATTTTAATAAGCAAGGGCTTGTTTATTGCTTGAATCCATGAGTAGTTTTCTCTTGTTTGCTGATATGTGTTCTAGACGGCATCTTC